GCCAGAGCAACCCACTGATGAATTTGGCTTCTGAGGGCTGGGATGCTACAGCATTTTATTTTACTTTCTCTGAAAGCTACAAAAGCCTGGAGTCTCTGCTTAATCAGAGTCCCCAGGTGTCACCATCTTTAAAGGGTTGAAGAAGAGGGGGGCAAGAAGAGGCAGGATAAAGTCACCTGAGAGAGCTTCTGAGGAGGATTTGGGACAAGCCCTGGTCCTGCTCTCCACTCTGGGCTGTGTCAGACAGATGGGAGGACTTGTAAGTGTTTGCTGTCTTGTGAGCCTGAGCTGTTACTTTCAGGGTGTATATTAATTTTGACCAGAAATGGACTTTTCATCAATGATCTCCCCAGTCTCATGAGGCGCTTGGGATTCTTCTAATGTGCAGAGTCATCGGCTCTTGTTCCTCTGGACCAAGGCTAGCCGCAGGCAGCGCACAGCCAACCCTTCTCCCTCAGCAGCGCGCTGCTCCACCAAAATGTTGTAGTTCCCTGTTGCCATCTGATTTTTGGATTTGCTCCCGGGGCCAGTGCCACCAGACAACTGGTGGCATTCAGTGACAGTCGGTGGGACTTGTTCTGCTCAGGGGCCTTGGCACCCGCAGCCCCTCCTGCCGAAAGCGGGGCGGCAGCCCTGGCCGGCGGGGCGGGAGGGCAGAGCAGGCAGGGCTCTCGTGCTGCCCGGGCACGGGGATGCTTTGAAGGAGCTGGCACGGACACCGGCTACCGGCTTTCTGAAATGGCTGTCAGAGAGAGCCAGGAAAATGCCGCTGTGCTTGCCAGCGTGGCTGGCACGATGGGGCATCAGTGTCCCTGCTGCCGTGGGGGCTCTGTCCCTGTGATGTCCCCTCTCACCGTGCCTCTCCGGGTGTCACAAGCTGCTGTGTTTCATGATCTTTGTCTTTCCGTAGTTGAGCTCTTCTATCCCCTCTGGGAGTGATTTGAGCCTTGTTCCTCAGCTTGTTTTTTGAAGCAGTTTCAATTGCAGATGCTGCTTTTGCTGGTAGCTGGAGGGAAGGGAAGGAGCTGGGGCTGCCTCCTTTGGCCTTGTGGGATCTGTGTCCCTGCACCAGGACAGCCACCGTGCTGGGCCCTTGGTGGCAGTTTCTTCCCTGTGCTCTGCTGCACCGGCATGAAACAGCCCTTTTCTTTCTCGTTATAAACCTCTCCTCTGCCAGCCTGACACACAGCTCCTCCTGTTTGCATTACTCTCTCCTGTGCTTTCCAAAGCAAGGGCCCAGGGTTTTTATAGTTGGGGTAAGAGTTTCAAAGCTCTTGAATGGTGACAACCAGTTTTTTGGCCAATCTAGATATTTCATTTAATAATGCAGACTTTAAAAAATGTTGCTGAAATGTTATCTCGGCGTTTTGGAGCTCTGCTCCTTGTTGGACCGTGGTTTTTGCAGGTGGTGCTGGTCAAGAAAAGTGACGGTGCTGAGCGCAGGGGGTGCTGCTGTACCTGGGGGTGCCCTGCACGTGTGGCCCTGGCGCTGGGGGGATGCCAAGCAGGATACCTGTGTGCAGAGCTCAGCTGCCAGGGTTAGCCCCAGGGAGGAGTGTCTGCTTTTGGGGGCTTCTGGAGGAGGGAGTGCCTTGCTCAGCATGAAGTGATGCTGGGGAAAATGCAACTCGTTGCTTCATGCCTCCTTCAGGATGGGTGGAAAACCCTGAAAATCACAACTTTTATTCTCTCCCTGCTCTGTGACAGCAGCAGATAGATGCCTTTTTTGAGACAGACCATTCTCCTGACAGACAAGATGACCGACTTCTACACAGAGGCTTAGTAGGAACGTGACCCCTCTATTACCTACAGCAGAGCTGTTGGAAGGGCAGTGGCACTTATTTACCTGTTTGAGAGCCTGCTGCTAACGAGGGCAGAGCAAAAGAATTATTCTCCCTCCCACTCCTTTTGCAGAGGAAATTTTTTTTTAGGACTTTTCTTTTTATTCTGGAGCTGAAGTGTTGATTTTTGTAGCCTTTGCCTCCCTTATTGTGTGATCGCTAGTGAGAAAACTTCATGAAGAGCAGTTAAGTGTGTTAGTGGAGCAGCTTAGCAGAAGCTGAAGTTGGTCTGAAATGGGGCTCTGCTCTGGGTCAGCTGTGCTGGGGTGACTGGGAGACAGGGTGAGTGTCCTGGGCCACCACCCCTCTGGTGTCCCGCAGAGGAGGGTGGATGGATGACCAGAGAGTATGTCCTGTGTGAGCTGGGACACAGGTGAAGCACTTCTCTGGCCAGGTTGTGGGGATGCCCTTACCTGTGGGCTGAGTTGTGTTCATGGGGAAGTCCCACCGGCAGCTCCCAGAAACCGTGGTCCTGTCCTTCTGCCACATTCAGATGAAGGAATTTAAAGTGATGCTCTCAAAGCCCCAGATTTCAGCATGGGCAGCCAGGTGCTGTGGTTTTCCTGAACAAGTTAGAGCCTCTCTCCCTGGCACTGGCATGCTGCCTCTTGTTGTTTTAAACCAGCCGCAGAGCAAAGCTCCCTGCTCAGCTAATCTCAGCTCATCTGACATTACTGTAAACTGACACTCTTGGGAATTTGGGGACAGAAAATTTTCCCTGGGGAAACGGCCGCTATGCAAACCCTGCCCTGAGAAACCAGGAAGAAAAATCAGCAGAGAGGTGCAGGAGCCTGGAAACAACCCTGTCTGCTGCCTGGGGGGGTCTGGGAGCATCTGCCCGGGCACCCTGAGGGGCTGCTGCCGGGGAGGCTGTGCTGGCAGAACTGTGTGAAGGTGGTTTGCTGTGGTTAGAGGGATGTGAGCTGCATTCCTGCACCCAGCAGGGCTGGTGCTCTGCAGAGCAGAGGAACCGGTCGGGAAATTGGCACCAGCTCAGCAGCACCCCTGAACTGATCCCTGCCAAAGTCCTTCCCTTGAAGCGAAGGGCACCCCAGCACGGGACTGTGCCTTGCTGGAGCCCTGCTGTCAGCGTGGACTCCCGGGGCAGTGGTGATACCAGAACAGGTTTTTTGGGAGCAGATGCAGCCTTTGAAAGTAGAAATGTCCTTGAAGCCCTGCTGGCAGCCTTTCCGGTCCCTTTTGTTGTGGAGCTGGGGATTGCCTTGCACTCCACAATCCACCACTGTAATCCCCTTGGAGTGCTGCTCTGGTCTAAATGTAAAAGGGTGCAGCTGAGACTGCTAATGCAGGCAGTGCTGGCGAGGGGTGCTGAGCCTCCCTCCTGCCCCAGGCGGGTCCCTTCTGGGCTGTAGCTGGTGGATGGGTTGTGCCTGGTCCCCGAGCCGTGGGGGAAGGAGAACTTTCCTGTCTGCCGTCTGGACCCAACCCGGTCCTGGGTGAGGGCTGGAGCCCACTGTTCATGCCCACCCTGGAACAGCAGCAGAAGGAGCTGTCTCATCTCCATCCCCCATCAGCTTCGGCCTAAGAGTAAAGCACTGACCCAGAATCTGCCACAGATGTCCCTGCTTGGTGCCAGCTGTGTGGTGGCACGGGCTTTTGTCAACCCGGGCAATGTTTGGGAGGCTGAAGCAGGAGTGGAATCTCTGACCTTTTGGTGCCTGTGAAAGTAAAACTGTCTCGGGGCTTTTTGGAGCTGCCAGCAAGCTGGTGTGACGGGAGAGCCTGAGCTCCCGGGAGCATCTCAAAGCCAGGCCATTCAGAACCAGGCTGCGGTGGGATCGTGGTGTTTCGGAAGAGGGAGCAAGGGGGAAAGCTGTCCAAAAGCTGTCTGGGCTGGGGGTCGGGAGGCTGGCGTGGATGCCTTTGAATGCAGCAGCGCTGAACTGAGTGGCCCTGAGCCAAGCCTGACCTAACTAGCTTATTTCCCTGCTTTCAGTAATGCCCGTACAAATGTGCTGAGGCCTGAAGGTCACTGCCAGACGAGCAAAGGTTGGGGGATTAGCTGTGGGCAGAGCACAGCTCCTCCTGAGCGTGCTGTGGTAGCCCTGAACTCCAGGAATGACCGTGACTCCCCTGTGTGCCCGAGCCACCATGACATCAGCACCTCAGGTGGGTGTTGGAGAAGCAGGGGGCTGCCTGGGAGCACTTCACTGAGGTCCAGGAAAATAGATAAACCTTTACTAGTCCCACATCACCTCTGAATTTCCTTCTGGGTGTTGGTAAGACTGGCTAGTGGGTTGCTTTTATGCATGTTTCCCCTTCAGCAGTGTCTAGCTCTGGTTTTGGAAGAAAACCCAGCAGGTTTGCAAACTTCTGAAAGGCACCTGGTTTGGATCTGAGCATCCGAAGGCACAAACCGTGCTCAGCTGAGCATGCAGGGTCCCTCCTGGGGCAAAGGGTCGCTCTGTCTCCACTGCAGTAGAAATTACTGACCTAGTGTGGTGCATGAATGCATTTCTCTTAGAGCTGGGAGACAAGCTACAGAAGTCTAATACCAGATCAGGGCATCACAAGTGAATGGTGATGATGAGTCCCTGGGCACTGATGTCATCAGATATGAAAACAAAGTGATATCTAACAGCATCCTCAGCCCAACCATCTCTAGCTGCCTCTGCATGGCTTTGACTCTGTAACGTCCCGTTTCCTTCTGGAGCTGTTTGATGGTGCTCTCCGGGGGATCTGGGGAGGAGGGAGATGTGCATGGGTGCTGTGGGACCTGGCACGGCTCCTCCCTGTCCTGGGAGGGAGCTGGCAGCAAGTCACAGGCCAAGGAATCCTGGAGCTTGCTCTGCACAGCTTCTGTAGGAGACAGCCCACAGGCTGTTGGATGTGCTCGGAGCAAGCCTGATGTTTTTCCCCAGAAAGCCAGACTTTGCCTGTCCTAATGCAATGCTCTGATCCCCTCCTTGCTCTCCTGAAAGCTGCGGCAGGCCCTGATGTTGAGCCCATCAGGTGGAATTACTTAATCTGGCCCTGATGAGTGACACCTGCACCCAGGAGCAGATCCCATCCCCCTAATCCCTAGCTGCCACCAGCTGCCTTAGTGTGTGGGGCAAAACAAGCATCATGTGAGCAGATGGTGCTTCCTCCATCATCCCGCCACCGCTTCAGCAGCCCTGAATAAAACTGCCCCGTTACCTTTTTCCCGTGAGCTGCCCCCATGGTCCGATGTGTTGGCTGTTCTCTGCTCACCCGGGATGTGGGACTGGCTGCTTCTCCGTGCTCACCGGCCCCGTTACTCCCGGGGGGACGTGTGGCCGCGCAGTTCCCGGCCCCTTGGCGGCTGCTGCGGGGAGATGTGGGTGAAATCCAGCCCGTCTGCAGTGGGGTCGGGCGGGAAAGCTTGTTTTTCCTCCCTTCTCCCAGCACGTGGAGAACTCATTTTCTTCATGCACCTAACGGCTGGCTTGCGCCCAGGGTCTGCCCAGGCACAAAGGCAGCTTTCATGCTGCGGATGCCCGGTTTCTAAGCTGGGAATCCGTATTTTGAGAGGCTGTGGAAGATTACAGTAATTGCACTTGACAGGGCAAGATGTCACAGGACGCAGATTCGCCCAGCTGCGGGGCCCCGGCACCCGTCGGACCTTGCCTGTAGCATTCCTCCTAGCTGCTCCTTCCGTGCTTTGCTGACATAAATCCATACCCCAAAAATAAAGGAGGGTTATTTCTCCGCTACCCGTCTGCATTCTGGCTCTTGGCTCCTGTTGCAGCACTTGATTCTGCAAACTTTGCTCCTGCAAATGCCCCAGGCTGCCGGTCTGCTGTTGCTGCCGCTCTGGAGCCCCCCGTGCCCCCGGGTGAGGCCAGGAGCTGTGTCCTGGGAGGCCGGGCTGGTCAGGGCTTGTGTTTGCTCAAGTGTCTGGGGGATGTGGCACGGTGAAAACCAGCCAGGTAGGTGCCTGTCTCGGCAGTAATACAGCTTTCAAAATGCCAAGGCAATAAAAAAAAGCCCCATTTGGGGATTGCTGGCCCTTCACCCACCACATTTTTCAGATCTTTTTAGAAAAAATTAGCAAGTTAAATTTGACTCCCGCAGCCATATTTATACCCCTGCCTCCTAGATTCTGGACTTCTGAAAAACTCCAATTTATTTATTGGCACACAGTGAATTTGGCAGGAATGGCTCTTCAAAGCACTGGCTGCTGATTAAGGTTCCTGCACAGGAGCTGCACTTCTAGGGCTCCTTATTCATCGAAAATAGTGATGTACCTTAGTAATGGTTCCGTGATGGATTCAGAGCTAGTTTTAACTGTAGGTAGTGTGCCAAAACATAATTTTCCTTTCTTTTGGCTTTAAACCAGGTTTCTAACTGGCATTGCAAAGGGATAGGAAGAGTTTCCTGTGGCTGAAAGGGGTTGGTTGTTTCCTGGGCTGTAGCTGATGCTGTGTGCGGGTTTACCCCTCTTAGGTTGTTTTCGGTTTGGCTTCCGAGTGAATCTAGATCCTCTGAGGGGGCTTAAAATAGTTGGCATATTTATGCTGGCAGTGCAGCAGGGCTGTGTGATGTGAGGGCTGTTGTGTCTGTTGCGTTGGGTTATTTCTCACTGCTGCCACGGGTGGGGATGATTCAGTGCTGGGGATTAACTGCTGCTGGAGCAGATTTAGGGATCGATTTATGGCGGAGGCTTTTCTTGGTGTGATCAGGTGCGTGTTAAGAATGCAGGGGGATAAGATGGGATACTACAGCTATTGGGGGATTTCTCTCTGGCTATTTTGGGGTTTTATTTCAGTTTTGCCTTTGGAAGTTCTTACAGGGGTTACACGATTTATTTCAAGATAAAGTAGAAACTGGTTGCCTCGCTGGCTTTGGATGCTGGTGCTGGCTTTTGGATCCGGGGTTTCATCCCTAAGGCTGCTGGTGCAAGACAGGCTGTGTCTCTTCCTGGCCTTGGTCTTATCCTGCCAACGTGCCTCACTTCTGCTCCCCTGGGGTGACCTGAGGGCTCAGGTAAGCGATGGGAACTGCCTGTCAGAAGCTGTGCTGGGGCAAACTCTGCTGTCAGAGGCAGAAAAGGCTGTGCAGGAGCCTGTTAACCCCGCACACCTCCGAGTGCTCCAGCAGAAATGCTCCACCCTCATGTTCTGCAAAACTGCTGGTCTGCTTTAAAGAATGGGGAAAACCCAGATACAATCATAGGAAATTAAAGTCTGTGTATGATGTAAATTTGTCCCTGTCCATGATGATGGATAAGTCTGGGCCATCACCCACGCAGCTTATCTGATCTCATCAGTGCTTGTGCTCAGGGAGGTTTTGGGTACAGATGGTGCTTGGGTGAATGAATCTGGACACGAACGGGGAGGGGGGGGGCAGATGCTCCCCCGGGAGCTCCTCGGTGTTGGGCAGCAGCGTGGGAACCACCCTGGCAGGAGGTCTGCGGGGCTTTGCCAGCCTGCCTTTGGGCAGGGATCCCCCTCTCCTCTCCTCTCCTGGAGGTGTCAGCCGGCCCCGGGTCGGGGTGCAGCTCCCAGAGCAAAGCGGGTGTGGGGGTGCCCGCAGAGGGCTGCCAGTCTCTGAGTTGTCTCTCCAGAGTGATGCTGGCTCCAGCTCTCCCGGTAAAAGGCTCCCACCTATTGGTTATGCTGCACAACTTCAGCTGCCTGAGAAACTCGCACATCTATCTCTCCCTCCTTGAGGGCAAAGTTGGCTTGGCACGTCCCTGGTGTTACTCCAACCTTTGATGGGGACTTGCCACAGAAAATTTAGCATGGATTTAACCCAGAAAAAATGCAACCGGGTGCGGGAAATGCTTAATCCTTTGGTCTGCCAATATTAACCTACATTGCTGCAAGGCACCCCTGTGGCCTTCTGGTCTTACTGTGGCTGTAGGGGACAGTGGGGAGCTCCAGGGGGAAGCCACCAAGGCCTGAGCATCCCCAGGGAGGGCTTTGCCCTGTGCCACGTGGGGAGGGGGAGCACCCGTCTGCAGTGCCAAGGAATGGGTGATGGTGATGCCTGGCTGGTGGCAGAGGATGTGGCATGCTGTGCCTGAAGGGAAAAGCATGGATTATGCTTGAAAATGGAAGTGAGAATGGCAGTGGTTTGTAATTAGGTATGTATGAAATCTGAAAAACCTTCTACAGAGTTTTTGGTTTAAAGACAGAAAAATAAAATACCCCAGATTGACCCATGGATGAGGACAGCTCAGGTGAAACCTGGCTGGGCGTTTTCTCAGGCTCTGTAGGCACTTGTACAGCTCTTCTCCCAGCCCTGCACAGTCTCTGCTGTGAAACAGCTGGTCCCTGGAGCAGGCAGCTGTGTGACAGGCAGTGGGGGGCTGGGGTCAGTCTGATGGGGCTCGTGTCCCTCTGAGACTGGTCTTGCCTCTGTGGCAGGCTGGGGCTTGATGTTAATCCATCTTCCTGGGGGCACAGCCCTCCATCTCCAGCAGCTCAGGCCAGCCATCGTATTTATTTGTCTTCATATCATTTTTGATGTGCTGCAGGGAAAAAAAGGAAGGAGAGAAAATGAACGAGGAGGTTGGTGGCACAGTGCAAGTTTGCAACGTGGTAAAATTGCAGCTTGGCTCGACATGGGGGATAACACTACTGGTCCGCGTCCTCTGCAGACAAGTGAGATGTAGCTCAGGAGGTGCTACGAAGAGGATGGGAGCCTCCAGAGTTGGTGGCAAGGGATGGCCACGTACCTCTTCAAAGGGGCTCTTGTTCTTCAGCCCTTTTGCTCCTAAGAAGACCCAGTTGTCCCGGAAGCCCAGCTTGCTCACGTGGCTGCTGCCCAGCTCTACAAAATGTGCCCGTACTTTGTCGTTCATCCTGAAAGAGGGTAAGAAGGTGTTAGCGTGGTGCCAGGTGGGTGTCCCCTACTGTCCCCTCTCTGCTGCTGGCATAAGCACCTCCAGCTCCCCCTAACTGTGGGGTTTTGGGGAGCCAGGTGTTGCTCCCAGGGCCAGACTCACTTTGTGGCAGCATCATCGTAGCTGGCTGTCAGCACAATGGTGCCACGCTGGATCTCCTGGAGGAAAGTATCCAGTTTGTTAATGTCTGGAAGAGAAGAGCATTAGGGAAAGAAAAAGGGATTTAGCAGGGACTGCTGCATGGCAGCTGGTGGAACCTCCTCTGGGCCAGTGAGACCCCAAGATGTGGGGTCATGGGTTGGGGAGGGACGGGCTCCCAGATGCAGCATTTTCCATCTTGTGTCCCAACTGGGGCTCTCCTGCAGAGCCCAGGGCTGGTGCTTCCCTCCTGCTGGTACAGCTACAGGGAGGAATTTGCTCCTCAACTTTGCTCACTAAACTGTGAAATCTAGTTACGTGAATTTACTTCCCAACACAAGAAATGAACCCGCTTGGCCGCGGAGTGCCTGCCCTGGGATCATGCCTTCGGCTGCGTTGTTGAATTATTGCTCATCTCGCATCTTGGGATGCTCGAATCTAACGCCCCATCTAGTGGCACAGAAGCTGACTGCCTTCTCCTTCCCTATGCCTCTCGCTCACAAACTCAGCCAGACATCTCCTGATATTGGTGTCTCTCCTTAAAAGTCCAGAGCTACCAAGAATAGGTTGCAAAACCAAAAAGCAGAAAGGGTGATTGATCCCTGGGGAAGGCTCAGACCAACAAAGGGTAAATCAAAAGCGCTGTAGGGGTGGTTTTAGCATGTGATTTTTGAGGAGTCCTGCCAAAACTCTGGAGACGTTTGGTAAGAGCTTTGCCCCAGCGGTGGGATTTACAGCATCCTGCAAGTCAGTGCCAGCTAGGCTGTGAGCCGGTGCTGCCCTGGCTCAGGGCATCTTGCTGTTAGGAAGATTGTTTGAAGCTGGCAGGAGCAGGGTCACGGTCTTTGCTGCCACCAGACTCTGCTCCAACAGCCTTGCTGGGGCTGGGGCCACATCCCGACTGCCATGCCCTGAGTATTTATTCTCCTGCGAAAGGCAGGGAAGCAAACTGCTGCTCAGCTGCTGCTCAGCTACTGCCAGCATTCAAAAACTGAGTTGAAATTTGCAAAAATCTCAGGATTAGTATCACTAGCTCTGTCTCAGAAAGTAGCCGCGATAGAGGAGCAGCCTAACTAGCCATCAGCACTGCTGGGAGCCACCAAGCTGCGAAGTGACTGCGCTTACCTCCAGAGTACATGTCGAATGTGTCAGCTTTCAGGAGCTGCCCGCTTGTTCCTGACAGAATTCAAAACAGAGCACAGTGAGTTTGCACTGGGGTGGCTCTAGGCTTTGCCTGGCCACCAGCTTGGGGTTCCTGCTTCAGAGCACTTCCCTTTGCTGCGATGGTAAATGTGTTGCTGGGTGGAGTTGGTGGAGCCATGGTGCACGGCCGAGATGGGTTTGTTCCCATCAGCTGTCTGCCCCGTGCAGCACCAGGCTGATGGGCTTTTGGCTCAGCCACGGTGCCTGGGATGGGCTCCCCGGTGGCCTGTCCCCTCCTGGGGCAGGAAGGGATCCTGGCTGTGGGGAAAGGGTGAGGGGGGGTTAGTGACTGCCTGACTCACCGTTCACCAGTGCGATGTTCAGACCTCTGCCAATGTTGTTTTTCACATTACTCATGATGCTGGAAAGGAAAGCAGAGAGCACCGGTAAGTGCAGGGATGCCCTGGAGATGCTGGTGCTCGTAGAACTGTGATGGAGCAAAGTGGCTGCAGGCAGCAAAATATCCACAGAAGTGGTAACAAAGAAAATTACTTCTGACTTTTTTCTTTTTTAACCACAAACTCATGGAGGTGGCCATTGATGTGCTTAGCAGAGGCCAGACTCTCCCTATGAAGCCCAGGCCAGCCATGGCTGCTTTGTCCCCGCTGTGTGCTGCTTACACCATGTCGTTGAAGCAGATGGAGGGTCCCACCACGTTTGCGGCGCCGCTGATGATCCTGAAGGCAAAATAATTTTCGGGGCAGCTCTTCCGGTTCCCGCACTTGTGCCGGGGCAGCTGCTTGCCTGTGAGGGAGGAGCGGAGGTGCATGGCACGGCGTTGGCCCTGTGAGGGGACAGTGGCCATGTCCCTGGGGGGCTGAGCAGGGCTGGCACTGGGGCACAGTGGCACACTAAGGAGGTAACACCTGGACCATCTTCTTGCACACAGGAGGCTTGTCCTGGGGTGGGACCAGCTTCTTGTTTGTGGTTTATGGTGCTGCTGGCCAGGGTGCCGGGTGCTGCTCTGGGTGTGAGCAGTGGGATGGCACAGCTGATGCCATGGGGGTTGCGGAGGGGGGTGCTGAGGAGCATTCAGAGCTGGTGCTTGTTCAAGGTCAGCCCCTCGGGCCTTTTCTGCCTGGAGCTTCCCCATTCTTGTCCAGGGCAGGGACCTGTGCCAGGCTGCCCCGGACAGGGCCACGACCTGCTACACCTCCTGTACCCTCTGGCCCTGGGGTGTTTCTGTTGGGGCAGGGGGATGATGTGAAGGTTTATGTGCTTGTGGAGCTGCCAAAGGCACTTCTGCCCTGTGCAGTAACTAACTCCCCTGTGTTTGGGAGGCTGGGATTTTTGCCTTGGGAAAGGGCAGCTCCAGGGCAGCTAGAGCACTTCCATCGCCCTCAGCCCTGGAGTGGTGTTGTGTGATGAAGATGAAGTCGAGAGCTGTACTCACTGCTGAGCTTGTCGGTGGCACCTGTGGGTTCCAAGCAAGAGGGTTAGATACTCCAGAGAGCTGCTGGCTCTTCCCCAAGCCAGAAGCAACCCTTCAGACATCAGCTCCCCAAAACTGCTCCCCGTGGCTGCAGTCACCCTGGGAGCCACCTGCCCCAGTGCAGCTTCCCACCGTTTGTCCCCTCCTTGTCCTGGTGGCTGCAGCCTTGGCCAGGGACTGCAAGTGACAATGTTCATGGCAACTCTACGCAGCTCTGGGGTCTGACTCGCGCAGGGCTGCCTGCACCCTCCCTGCGGACCCGACTGGATACACACTGGTGCCTCACCAAGCCAGCTTCGCAGGCTGATGTCTTTCCAGCTCTGGTCGAAGTACGTCTGCACGATGAACCATGTGCCCAGCAGTGTGATGAACAGTGCCACGGACCGGATCACGCCTGCCAGGGGTGGGAGAGGAGCCAGGTGAGAGCAGCAGCAGCACGGGCTGGGGACCAGAGCATCCCTCTGGCTTCTTAGGGACTTGGTCCGTGTGTCCCCGGGTTACCAGGCACAGGGTGACAGCCAGTGCTTGTGTGGTGTGGGAAGGCAGCTCACGCTCCTTCATCCTCTAAAAGGATTCTGATCTCTTAATTAATATCTCTGGAGCATGTGGCACTGCTCAGATAGGCATTACTCTTCTGCTGGGAGGCACTATTCATATTTCTCTCTGCATTAAAGTAAATCTGATAATTAGTCAGAAAGCTATATAAATCCAAATATTTCTTACATTCCCAGTGCTGGGAAGGCTGCTATCCCCAATTAGTCACTAGCTACAGCCGAGCAGCTGCTAATACAAATGTGATTGGCATTTGGCTTTAAAACAGCACTCATCGGAGCAAAACGTTCCAGTCCTGCATGGAAAGGGAGTAGAAAAATATACTTATATTGTGGCAGAATGGCTCTTATGGAACCAGGAGCGTCTCAATAGCCATCTCTTCCCAGGCACAGAGGGTTTCACTGGGAAAAATACAACCAGCTGAAATCTACACAAATCTGTTAAAAAAACTGATATTTATACAAAGGCCCTTTCCCATGTCGCTGGCAGGGGAAGGTTGGGGTAGCTGGGCTTGAGAAGGGGTTATGTAAATGAGAAGGTGGCATAAAGAGCTGTAAAAAAAAAATAGATAAAGTAAATCTCTGTCTTTCTCCTTACTTGTCACCCGCATGGTGGTGGGGAGAGAGAGCCCAACTGAGGGGGTGGCCAACGGTCACGGGTCACCCTGAGGAAAAAGAAGGAAATACCATAAAGCGTTCCAGTAGCCCACCAAAGTCAGGCAGATATTAGGTGAAAAAAATAATTGCTATGTTTAGACATATCTGCAATAACTAAGAGGTCGCTAAAGTTGTATAAATTCCCATCGGGCACGTGTGCTCGGTCCCACCCTGCTGATGAAGTGCTGGCTCCTGTACGTTGGAGCAGGCTGCACAGATTGAGCTTGCTTTAGGTTTAAGCCCCTGAACTCTTCACTGTGACTCTCTGCTGCCCTGTGCACTCCTGTTTCGTGTCCTTTTCTCAGTTTTTCCTATTCTGCTGGTAGCGATGAGCTCAAGGAGAGTATTTTCAGCCATGGCTTTGCTGCATTTCCTTCTGGAATGGAGCAAAGTAGGTTTCAAATATTATCTATTATTCAAATATTATCAAGCTTGCCCTCCTTACAACCAGAAAGGGAAGGAAAGAAAGGCAGCACCACTGAGTGGGGTGGAGCAGCCAGGTTTGGGGACACCTGACTTAAGAACAGAAATATTTTCCACTCGCCCAGATCCTGCAGCATCTTCACCCACAGGAATGGGGAGTGGTGGTAATTTGGAGCACGAACTATTTCCTACCTGAGCGAGTCCATCTGCCCCCCTCTTTCCTCTTGCCACCCCAGCAGTTGGGATGGGCACCTGCCACCCACTGTGCTCCCAGAGGCTGGGGACCCACTCCTACCTTAGCAATTCGGGGCTGCAGCCTGGTGAACGCCTGTCCTGGAAGCCACCCTGGAGTCCTAAGGCAAATTGTCACCTGTGAGACGTGTGCTCAGAGTTACGGAGGCTAATGTTAACTAAAGCAGCCCGTTAGTGAGGCTTGGCACAGAAAATTTGTGAAAGAGCTATGCTGAGAGTTGCTTTTCCTGTTTGAAGGGTAAATAAGGAGCAACAGGTTGTAGCAGGGCTGGGCTGAAAGTTGATTTCAGGCTGTTACGTCATGAGGAAGAAGAGCTTTGCCTCCTAGCCAGCCCTGCTCTGGGTTCCCTCTCAGGGCTTGAGTTCAGGGAATCTGTGGCCGTGGTGCAGCATCCTCCCTTGGCCCCCTGGACGCACCCAGCACCCCCTCAGAGCCCTGCTGAGAGGCTTCCCCTGACCCTTGGGTAGGTTGCAGCATCTCTCCCTGTTACGGGGCTTTAAGGCAGCCTTAAAAACAAGGAGGAGAACAATCTGCACTGCAGGAGGAAAGCTGTTCTCCTGCTTTGCCTGGCACCCCAGAGGGAGTTCGCAGGGGGCCGGGGTGTCAGTCCTGCAGGGACACCTCAGCTCTCCGAGCCTGGCACCGCTCCCCACGAGACCCCTCCGCTGTGCCCACGTCTGCGAGTGGCTGCGGCAAGGAGGAGCTGCCAAAGGCACCTGGGCAGGGAGCTAGCGGCTTGCCTTTCCGTGGGAGAGTGGCCTCATGGCTTATCTGCATTTTAAAGAAAGCCTTGGAAGCTATTTGTGTACCCATGCGTATCACGGCAGCGTGTTTTTGATAGCGTATCTGCTAAGCACGTTTTCTTCCCAGCAGCATCTCGCTTCTCCCTGCAGCTGTTCCTCCCAGAGGAAGGCGGCTCTGAGCAGGAATCCGTCCCTGCAGGAGCGGGGGCACAGGGGTCCCTGACACCTGCAGCACGTCCCAGCCCCTCGACACGGTATATCACTGAGATGGGTTTTAAACTCATGTTGGAGCTGGTGGCAAAGCCACAGACCTGAAAATGGATAATTTAAAGGTTTTGGAGGACAAATGCTGCCTGTGGCTGGATCTGGGGGGACAGCACCAGGCTGTTTTGCTTTTTAAATGCTGGGAGCCTCTCCCATGCCTGGCCCCCCAGCCCAGAGCCTGACCTGGTGGTGGGTGTGATGGGGGCAGAAGAGCAGTCCTTAAAATCCCCCTTAGCAAGTCACAAAATCTTCAAAATTCGTATCAGTTTGCTTTTGGAGCACCTCCCTCAATGCCGAGAGTGTGGAGCTGGTGAGGATTTGGATCTGGGCTGTGACTTGGACACAGTGAGTGGAGCAAAGCTCCACTGGGTTTGCCAAACAGTCCCCATGGTGCTGTGGGGGACACCGGCTTCACTAGGGCCTGTTGCACAGTTTGTCAAATTTGTGTTTTTTCTATGCAAGTATTGATTTCATTGCAGAGGAAGAGAAATGGAAAAATAAACCAAATACCACTTTAGGGAAGTAATTTATTTATTTAGGCTATTTATCTTCACCTTAATCCCAGGTAAAATTTATTGGCTGAAGTCCCTGGATGGTGAAATTCCTGGACCCTGATTATATTACAAGAGGGTAGCCCTGTCCTGGGATTTCTATTATATTCTTTTTTTTTAATTGTTCAGATATTTTTAAACATTTTTTTTTGCTCAGGTTGTGGTGGAAAAAAAAGATGACTGTGCTTTGGCATGTCAGACTTGCAAGAGAGAGAGGAAGGAAGGAACTATAGTGAGTGATAAACCGAGTTATTTGTCTAATAAACCTGAAACTATTTGCTTTAAAAACCATTCCAGGAACAAAAAAGTTCTCAGACAAATATTGCTAAAGAGCTCCGTGGTGTTGTAAGGCAAAGGCTCCACCCCAGCCTGCTCAAGACTGGACTGCTGCTTGCAGTACTGAGTTATTGCTGCCAAGAAGAAACCCAGGCAGCTCCCTGCCCTCACAGGGAGGTTTTCTAGGATGCAGCAGGTGAATGTTCCTGTTTCCTCCCAGTGCTGCAGGAAAACTTCACTTTTATTCCTCAGAAGCTTCTGCCTTTGTTGCTTTTGGTTTGTTTTTTTTTTTCTGCTTTTACGCCCCACATGTCCCCCTCTCTCCCAGCAGGTCACTGACCATGAATGAAGCATCATTTTGGTGCAGGGTGGGGATGCAGCTACAACGAGGGTGGCTGCCAGATGTCACACATGCCCACACCCAGCCAGTCACCCCTCCAAAAGTCAGGGTTTTCCTGCAAAACTGAGCACAGGGGTGCAGAAGAGGGGCTGGTGTTGGGTGGGTGCACATCCACCCTGTGTCCAGGGCTGGTCCCACCACAGGAGTGTGAAGAATGCTGCAATGCCATTTTTAGTCTCAAAAGGAGCTTTGCTGAGTTACTCAATGGGAGAGCACTGTTTGCTAGAGGGCTTATAAACTCCTCAGCTCATAAAAATGCTTGGCCAGCTGCTGCATGTGTCAAAAGGCTGGAGAGGGCATCTTGCAGGGAAACTGCCCCCAGCACAAGTCAATAGTTAACCCGGGTGAGGCCCTGATCCTGAAACAGAAGCCAAACAGGATGCACAATGGTGGTGGGCAGGGCTGGGGCCAGCCACGGTGGCTGAGCCCCATCTGGGAGCAGAACTGGAGGCGCTGCTTGGGGCAGCAGGGCTGTGGGGCCGGTGCAAAGCGCACAGGCTGATTTTGGTGCCTGCTGCGGGGCAGGCACGGCCCCATCCTGCGCTGGCTGCCAGAGGAGCATCACCCATCCCTGCCTGCTACCGATTCTGCCTCTTGTTCTTTTGTCATTGACAGCTGCTTTCTGGTTCTCTGCATGTGTCACTGAGCACGAAGCTCAATCGCTCCGAGCTCGCCTCTCTGAGGTTTCCCCAAGCAGGGAATCAAGACCTGTGGCAGCGATGAGAGATGGAGGGAAGCGATTGCATCCCCCCCAATGCAGGAATGGCAGCTGCCAGCTCGGTGGGGATCCCCGTGCCGTGGATTGCAGGTTGTACTGAAGTGGCCTGTGCCAAAACCCAGGGCAAAAGGAGGGACACAAGTGTTGGTGCTCAGGGCTGGCAGCAAGCTCTCTGCTGGGAGGAGGCACTTCTTGGGGCTGAAAGCACAGGGTGGGCCACGCAGCACTCACTGGGCAGCTGTGGTGAAGGGCTCTGGTTTTTGGTAATTGCATCTATGGGAGGATCTGAAATGCATTTTTGGCAGCTAGCAAGGCCCTGGGTGCCAGCACCTTGAGGACTCCCAGTCGGTGCCTGGGAGGTGCCCAGGTTGTGCACTGGAGCATCGCACAGTGAACACCCTGCAAATTCATCCAGAGACATGATGAGTAAAGGGGTTTGACTTGGACAACACATCATAGAGCTGATTCCACCACATATCCCATAATGGGTGGAAACATGGATTTAACCCTTGTCGTTAACACAGGTAGTTCATTAAGGCTGGCTGTAAAACCAGCACAGCTGCATTTTGAGGAAATGATGCCAGCATGTGGGGCTTCCCCTTCACCTCCACGCTACGAGAAGGAGGAACAACTAAAACCTTCCCTCGTGCAGCCATCTAACCTGCCAGCAAGTCAAGAGCGAGTTCTGCAGAAAGGCATTATTTCAGAAGCCTCATTCCGTGGTCAGGAATGGGACAAGACTACATACTGCTCATGTCCTGGGTGCACTGTCCCTCTCTGTAGGCTGTGTGGGAGCTGGGGCATCCCGGGGAGCTGGGGCACCATGTGCTTGGCAGCGTGACGGTGCAGTGCCCAGCCCAGCCCTCTGTGACTCACAGCACTTCCCTGAGCCTTATCTCACTGCCCTGCACGGGGCTGGACACCCTGGTGTGCGGTCCCATGGGTGCAGTGGCTGCGGAGCAGCCGTCCTGCAGGAGGGGAAAAAAAAGTCATTCCTGTGGCCACCAGCTCTTGTGGTTCGTTTGGAGGTTTTCTTCACTTTGGCATTTGTTTTTTTTCCATATCAGAAGAGGAAAACCTCTCCCAGAGTGGGCACCAGCCTGACTGCACTCCCATTAAACCGGCGCATGGTGTTTGATGGGGCAGAATGGCTGGTGGGGGGCACGGTGATGGGAGCGGGTGGGCATGAAGCCAGGACAGGCGTCCCCCACACGGGACAAATCCAGGATAACCCTATCCCTTGGGTTTTCCCCCAGCTGTGCTGCATGTGTGTGGGCTGGCCCTGCGTGCTGCTTTGTTGCCTCTTGTTTGCAGGAGGCTGGAGGTTCCCTTTTCAAATAAGCATTTATTTACCCAGCAACCGTCCTGAACTCTGAAGGAGTCCTGAGTTAACTGTAGATATAGATTTAGGCTACCTTCTTTTTAATCATTTATTGTTGTTATTATGTTTCTGAAGGAAGAAATCACTCCTTAGAGACTTTAGCACTGCAGTTACCATTAGAGGCCCTATATATTTTCCAAAGCTGAACCTCATTTACCTGGCAGCCAAGAACAAAAGTGTTCCCATTCCTTTTTCGTTTTTCTTTTCCATTTCCATCACTTAGGAGAAGAAAACGACTTCTCTTGGAGCTTTTAAAGCAATTTTCATCCAGGAGCCAGTGGAGGAGATGCAGGGCTGGCAGCAGCAGTGCTGCCTTTGGGACTGCAGCTTGCAGAGGGCTGGGGCAGAGCCCCTGCAGGACCAGTGCTGCTCCCTGGTAATTAGTTTAATACCTGAGGCTGCTCTCTGTATAAAATGATGCCCTGAGCTTTTTGTTTCTTTCCCCTGGCTCTGGTTCCTGGTGCTGGGCAAGGGGTGCAGGATGTGGCTCAGGTGCTGTGCTGTGCGCCAGAGGAGACGGCAGCCTCTACACCAAAACCTTCCAGACAGGGAGCAGAAAAGCAAACACAGGCCTGGGCTTTGCATTGGGATAATTATTGCCCTCGGAAGGAAATTTTAGCTGCAGTGAGCGTCTGGGCTTAAACAGCGCAGTCTAAATCAGAAACCTCCTCCCTCTCTGGGGAAATATCCTTCCTATTAGTTTGTTTAGCTGCTGGCAATAACTGGCTCAGCTCAATAACGATGCGCCCCAAGCCCTGGCGTGCTGCAGCGCTGCTCTGCTCCGTCCCCCACTTCTCCCCCGTGCAGGAGCTGGCCCGTGGCATGGGGCTTGTAGCATGCTGGGGGAAGCCTGTTTGAGATTAATTTCTCCTTCTGCTTCAAGGGATCTGAGCATCCCCCTCCACCCCAGGTCCTCTGTGGAGATGGAGATGTTGCTGATGCTTGAAGAAGAAAAGAGCAAAAAACATCCGTGGGGCCAGGGCCCTCGTCATCCCGACGAGGAAAGCTTGTGTGAACAGTTTCTGTTCTGTGCAACTGCACATTTCACCAGCTGGTCACCAAGATGTTTTCCTGCAAACACAGAGGAGGAGGAGCTGTGTGCTTTTCTCATGGGACATGGCTGCAGCACAGCCTAAGCACTGGTGCTGGCGTGGGTAGCCCTCGAGTCCTGGCCCCGCATCCCGCGGTAGCCCAGGTTTTGCCCACTGGCTGTGCCACACAGCAGAAAGCTGCTTTTAGATCACAGATAATGTTGGTGACTACATCAAGTGTTGGGAACGGGGCATCAGCTTGTTCTTGATTCAGCAAATAATTAACTGGTGTAGTGCTATGGAATTACATCAGTCTCATCTACAGGCTCCCCCCGGGAGGTTTCTGCATGATGCAGAGAAAGAGAAATTAAAAAAAAAAAAAAAAAAAAAAAAAAAGTGATATCAAAAAGCTGCCAGGCTGGGGAATGAATAATCCATAATGCAAAATCACCACACTGTCATGAGCACTGTGGTAGGATCAGCATGAGCGAGCTGGTGGATGAGGAACTGCTCTTCTCCTCCTCTTCCTCTTCCTCCTCCCCCCTCCTTGTGCCAGCACCAGCTCATGGGCCCCATGTGAGACATCAGCGGGTGCTGGAGAGCACTGTGGGGACTGGTGGCTCCTGCCAAAAAATCTCAGTGGCTGCAGGACTGTCCCTCTGAGGGGCTCAGCAGTTCCTATGAGAAGAGCTCAGCACTGGGGGGGGGGCAGGCTACACCCCCTGAAGATCCCTTCACGGGGCTCTGCAGTGCCTCCAGGGACACGGTGCCCTGCAGGGAGGTGCTCGCTGGGACAAACTCATGACAGATTCTCTTAGGCAAGGTTTGGCCACTGCTGCTTCGCAAACTTTGTCCTGAGAAGTGCTGTGGCTGTTTCCCATTGCTCCTGCGGGGCGAAGCCGTGTGCCACAGACGTTAAATGTAGCACCTTTAAAAGGAAAGAGTCTTTTACTTCCCAGTTTATCCCATTAAACACCACCTGTGTTTACTACAGGCAGCATGTGAGAGGTGGATGAGGGCAGGGTTTGCTCCCGCAGTCCACCCCTTCCCACCTGCCCGGCAATGGGAGATTATTCAACCTGCTCTGCTCCCGTACTCACCTCTCCTCTCTCACTTTTGCACAGGTTAATAAACAGCAGTATTTCATTGATCGAAGCGAGAATCATGCCAGCAAACTGATGACACATCCCATAGGTCTCACCGGCCTCCTGGTGACCGAGCACAGCGCGTGTGAAGTACCGGCGGCGTTACCTTGTGCCCGATGGGCTGGAAGAAGAAATGTGTGAGGACAAAGGTTGATAGGAGGGCTGATACAACGCTATCGGACAAAAAAGGTGACAAAGCGGTTTCACGAGAGGAGAAGGGTGGTGTTTGGTTGGCAAGGGGGGTTCGATGTGCCGGGGGTGTCCCCCAGCAGCACGGCGTGCTGGCTATTGGGGGTGCTGTTGTGTAGCGCATACGCGACGCCCGCTGCAGCCCTGGCAGCAGAGCCCACCGATGCTGGCTTTGCTGCTAGGAGAGAAAAAGAAAGAAGGGAAATCATAACCACTTTTACCATTCAGAATTAGCTCGTGCAGTGCTAAGCCCCCAGTCTGTGGGCCCAGTGCAGCCAATCTGTTTTTATTGTTTTGCAGGACTCCTCTGCAACCAAATGATGACAAATACCAGGAATTAGCGGAGTGTAATTACTCCATATTAGCTGAATTCACAGATCATAAACAGCCATTGATTATTCCTAATTTCACATTTTTAGCATTCTGAGTTGCAGTAATTAGGCCTGTCCGAGGGAATTACCATCTCTTTCAATCCCTCCGGTCTCCAGTCACTGCCCTTCTTTTAAGATACCTTTTTACTGATGAAAAAAGAGGATGTTTAACACAGAATCACAGAATCATTCAGGTTGGAAAAGACCCCTGGGATCTTTGAGTCAGACCATCAGCAAATCCCTCCTTACTTCTGCAACAGAATGCCCCCTCCCAGTCCCCAAATCCCTCTGGCTCTGCCGTCCTTTGGCTGCCAGCTACCTCAGAGCACAGATCGGTGCCTGGCGTGACCTCTAACCCCTGGGCCACAGCTCATTTCACCCAGGCTCATTGCAGGGGCAATTAGCAGCCTTGGCTCTTGCTGCGGGTCTTGCAGGGATGCCCACGGAAAGGGGCCTGGGCAGCACCAAAGCTCGCGGTCCATCTCCTGTTGCCAGTTGGTGCCATGCAAGCAGGGTTTGTGTTTTAAGCATTGCCTCTTTTTTGAAACATGGTTGCAGGCCAGGACATGATTTCCAGATGCTAATTTGCGCCTCCAGTGAAATCATGCTGGGGGGCCTCTGTCTCCAGCCTGGTAACGACTGTATCCTCCCCAGACAAGATCTATGAGGGGCTGGTAGACCTCAGTATTTTCTTGTTACAGACTACAAGCAGTATTAAAAAAAAATGTAGATATAAATTAATAATATTTGCACGGGAAATTTCTAACCCTATTAATATCATATCATTAAATTTGTTTCTTACGCACAGGCAGTGATTTCATTACAAAGCGTAGCAGAGCATAATGCCAGCTCTGCAGCAGTGATTCGGTCAATTAATGATGAGAAGGAGAAAGATCCTGTCATTTACTGATGGCAGAGCCTTTGGGACTTTTCCTTTTGCTTTGCCCCTAGTAAATACTGAGGGGTGGTGGGTGACCACCGCCGGCCACGCACTGTGCTCACAGGTGCTCTGGGGCGTTAGGCTGCCTGTCCTGCGGCTGTGGGAGAGGCGGAGGAGAGGATGGGTGTGCTGGCTCCCCGCCACAGGTCACAGGCTCCTGAGTTATTGCAGACACTTTGGTCTGACCCACACAGCAATTCTGGCATTTTTATCTATTTTGACATGATTTGCCCACCCTGGGTTGTGGCAGTGCAAAGGGATGAGGGGCTGAGAAGCCTCTGGCGTTGGGCAGGGAGTTATTTATTCCAGGCAGTGGCTGCAGCCACCAAGCAACAGAAGTTTTTTATTGCACCCATTCCTAGGACACCGAAGAAGGATTATGCATGCCTCCACCACGCCATCTTTTTATTAGATTGCAGGCAGGGGTTAAACTGATCCTTGTCAGCACAAATATAATGCCTGGGGTGATGGGAGCAGCATAAATTGAGGACAAGAGGTGGCCGTTTTTACCACCGCTCTCAAGAATGCTCTGCTGGTTTACTGCATCGTTCGCTTTTTAATTGGGACATTTCCCTCTGGCCAGGGGATGCCTTTCCTTTTTTGCCAATGAGGTGCAATAAATAAATGGGCTAAAAGACACAACTCTGAAGGGAGGTGAAGTGCAGAGGGCAAGTTAGTGGCTGCACCAAAGCCCGTTGAATCTCTCCACTTTGCCATGAGGGCACTGATTTTGGTACAGCTTCCACGAGCTGGGGACACAAGGGCTGTCCTCTGGTGGTGAGGGGATCCCAGTAGTACAAATCACACAGGGGCTTCATCTATTTCTCACCTCCATTTTTTCCAGCGTACTCGTGTGATGGTAGTGATGATCCTTGGTGCTGGGTTGGTGAGGTGAGTTTATTTACAGCCAGTTCTGATACGCCTGTGTCAGTGAAAAGCTGTATTTGAAGGAGCAGACGGTAATCCTGTGCATCAGGCTGGCCAGATTTGCTTATCGGTTACGGCAGAGTAGGACTACGGGGATGCATCATCCGAGTGCTCCAGAAGTGCCTGCTATTTGCTGTAATTAGGCAGAGTGAGCCATTACGGGCTGCCTCATGTGGGGAACAGCAGTGGGAAACGCAGTGACATGGAGCATGTGAGCCCGCAGGAGGGTTTGGGGGGGCCCGGCACTGTCTGGGCCCATGTTTGCTCTCCTGGCCCCACAAGCTCTCTCGCTGGGGGGATGTGGAGAGCCCCAGCACACCGATCGGCTCTCACAGGGGACCATGGGGGAGTCATTTGCTCCTTTACGCCTCCCTCCAGGAGCAGCTCATGAAGGCCAGGTCTGGTGTATGTGATGGGGCTGTGTGGGTGCTGCTGGCACCCGGTGCTGGCAGCGGCGGCAGCAAATTGCCGTAAAATATCTCACAGTTATTGGCAGATGTATCTTTTCTAATTTGGTGGGTGACGTGGAGCGAAGCCCTCAGAGCCAACCCATTGCCCTCACAGGGACTCCTCTTGGGGGGAGAGCACTGCGCCGTTGTGAGTTTTGTGTAAGCAGCTCATGCTGGTTTAAACACCATCCCTTGTTAGGTGAGGGAGCTGATTTCCAGCTGTACACTATTACAAAGACAACATGTACCCATGTCTGGCAGAAAAGCCTTCTAGTTGCAGCATCCAGGTACAAGTCCAGCTCTCTGGGACTGCGGTGACTTGCTGCCTGGCTCAGATGAGTGTGCATAAGCAGGTAAACCCACTGGCCATAGGTGGTGGGTAGCTTGGAGCAATAGAACAGCCCTCTTGCCTTCAGGAGCTGCTGCGACAGGCCTTGGGTTTGCAGCTGGTGCCAAAGTGCATTGTCTCTGGTCTCTCTGAATCTGATTTATGCTAAAGCACAGCCTTAAAGCCTGTGGCTGCCAGTCCAGGTCATGTGCAGCCCTCAAAGCCCTGCATGCTGTGGGGGTCTGGCACACACCTACCCCTGCTTGGGGCTGCAAGGCAGCTGGGGTTAAGTAAGGTACTCATTCAGCTGTCCTGGTATTTTTATTTGCCTCTGGTAGTAGCTGATTAATTAGATATCTTCCACTCCCCCAACCTTCCTGTGCTTGCAGCAGAGGAAATCCTGCCTTTGGGCTGCTCCTGGACCTCCCCAGTCCAGTAAACCATTACAGTGCAGAGAAAATGTCTCTTAAAAAAAAAATGCAGTAGAAATTAAAACTCTCCACTGAGAACAAAGTCAGTGGTGCTTTTTGCATCTACTGTTATTATTGTATTCTGTAACATTTGTAAAGCAGATCACTTTTATCAAGAAAGCCTATCTTTTCTCCCAAGCTGTAATTCCTGGACTTCTTAAAGAAGATTTCTGCTCACAAAGGAAATAAAAGATAGGAATATGATGCGCTCTGACATTTGAACACAATACTGAGAATCTGAATTAAAAGGAACAAACTCAGAAAGTATCATTTATACAGCAATCAACTTTAAAAAGTCACCATCTGCTAAGAGTTACCACCCGGTGCAAGTGTGTCTTTATTGCTAGACAGAGAATAGGAAATAACTCGGGGAACTCTCCTGCACCTGCTGAGTTTTTTCTCGGTGCCGTACACACACTGACCTGCGGTGGCCGGTGTGCTGCGGGGTGCCTATTGCAACTCTCCTTTTACTCCAACTCACTACAGAATATAAATCTGAATACAGGTGCCATTAGGAGGAATGATTTGGGGCTGTTAAAGTTCCAGCATAGTGTCAGCTTTTTGAAAAGTCTAAAGGCCAAAAGAAATGACCAGAGTTGGAATAAGGGAACTGGTTTGAGTTTATATGTAGAAACCAGATTTTTTTTCTTGCTTGCTGCTCACGTCCTTGCTGCCCCCTGCCCCAATGACATTTCCTGGATTCTCAGAGCCCTTTCTGAGTTTGTCTTCCTATTTCATCATAATCGATCATAATATTATCAAATTCTTTTCCCTGTGCATCTTGACTAGCGCTCACCTTGCAGTTTTCTGCCTCATTTTGGTCTTCCACTGGTCATAGTCTTCTAAAAAGGTTGTGAACTTTTTGATACAAAAGTTTCTGATCAAATTTTATGTCTTCCACCAAGCCCAATCTGTGTTCAGGTGATGCTTAGCATCATTTAATCCTCTCAGTGCTGCTCAGCAGTCGTGATGGTTTCCCTCCTACCGCTCCATGCACAAGACTCAACTATGGCAATACAGTTGTGTGCACCAAGTCTTCTGTTTCTTGGAGAGAACATATCAGCTGAAAAAGCATGGAAACACTTGCCATGGTGGGCAATCGTATTCCTCTCCCCTTTTAGGACTTTTAAGCTTCTCATCCCCAGCCCTCGGGAGGCTGCCGTGTCCCGTCTCCTTTCCAAGGTCTTGTCCTGTTGCAGAGGCTGAGTCAGGGATGGTAGAAAGTCTTTGGTGCTGTTGTTGCTTTATGCCTGGTGGGGAGAAATGTCTTTTGCCATCCCTCTCAGTTACCTGTTCCTGTATGTCTGTAGCACTGTGCCAGGCTTTAGAAATGAGAGTGCCTGCAGGCATTTTTGACTTGCTTTAAGGGTTTTAATTGCATTTAATCACAGTGGTCTCACTGAAGTTTGGAGGCTTTGAGGGCAGTTAACAGATAAATCAGTTAAATTAATTGTGGTTTGTTTTGTACAGACGTACTCTTGGTTTGGCAGAAGGGCAGCCCACACACGCTCTGATGACAAATATTTCTAGCCTGACCTGTGGGTCTGGAGTACCTGAACCCCTGGGGCTTGATGGCCTGTGTTGCAAGATGTGGACCTGCAAGTGTCTTCTGCTGGCTTTCTATCATCATCATCATCATCATCATCATCATCTAACCTAATTTCTTGCAAAATTAAATAACTCTTCAAAAGCTGATTGGGAATCTGGTGTGAAGCACCTAACCAACTCACACAGGGGCAATTGCCAAGTGCCAAAATGGTCTGTTCAAGGTAAGTTTTAGATTTTTAAGCTTCTTTTAAGAAGCGTGAGGAGGTTTCAGAAGGCAGGGTGACACTGCCTTGAAGGACACCAAATAACATCTCTATTTTTCCCTGTAAATCAGCTGCCTTGGGAACTCACATTACCATTTCACTGTTGAGCTGCTTTGGATTTATCACCAGGACAAATCGACATGCACTAAATTGTCTATAATCCTTCCTCAGATGGAGTAGGTTGAACGAGCTGGAATTTTGTTTCTTTGTTGAGATGAAATGTAATTACTTTATGGAGTTTGCATGGTGTGTTAAATACTGCCAGTATTAAAGCGTAATACAAGTTATAGAACTGTGCCTGTTGCTGGAGATTTATGGAATAAAAGGTATAATTTCACACTTCACTGCATTTTATTTTGAAGTTGGGTGTTGACGTGCTTTTCAGTTGTTTAGATGTGTTTATTTAGCCTTTATTCATGGTTAAGACAAGTACACTGAGGGATTTGATGAGTGAGAGGCTGGAGTTGCCTTCCTCACTTTCCAAAGGAGGTGCCTGAGAGAGCACAGAGCCCCAGCATCCCTTACACTGAAAATGCACCAACAGTTCTTAGGAGGTGAAGAGTCTTTCTTCTGCCTCCTACGTTTCAATAGTTTATGTTTTCCCAATAGGTTTGCTGTACACAAGAGAATGTTCATCAGCAATGCAGTTCAAAGTCATCACAGCAGCAGTTTGATCCCAGAGGGAATGGCTGATCCTATAAAGGAAATTGTAAAATTTGCAAAGGTGCAAATTCCTCCAAAGGTTTTCAGGCCAGATTGGCCAAACATTGGGGCACTTGTGTAACACATGTTAAAGAAATTCCCTTATGACTGAGGCAGTGCAAGATGCTATTCTCCCATCAATAAATGGCACTTTTAGAGCATCCAGAAGCTCACTGCTGGGCTCTCCTTACAGCTGGTCTCCTGTGTTTGACTCTAGAGAACTGGTGCCAAAGCTAATGGCTCTCCTTAATGAGTGAACACACACACACACACATATACACATAATGTATAGCTGTGCCAAGCAGGCTGAAAACTGCCTGCACTTCTGTCTGCTTTTCTTTGAAAACTGTGTGGCTTTAATATCCATTAACATCTATGTGGGGCAGCACCACGACCAGTTCATTTTTAGGAAAGATTCCATGTGCCATCTGGTACTTCTGGCTAATTGCCTGAAAAACTCTATAAAGAATTTTTTTTCATGCAGCTCCACAAGAAAAATCCAGCTTTTCCCC